CACTGTTGCAGATGTTCTAGAAAAGAGTCTAATAAGATGCAACATGAGCTACAAAGTCATTTCCACGAGTGGCCCAGTAATTCCACTTCAGAAGCATACTCAAACAGAAAGTATTTTTTTAATGCTCATAAATGTTCTAGAACGACAGTGGTTGAACAACTTGGTGAATATGTCAACTACTGAACTGTACACTTTAAGCATTTTCTTTTTTTATTTTTAAGATTTTATTTATTTGACAGACAGAGATCACAAGCAGGCAGAGAGGCAGGCAGAGAGAGGGGGAAGCCGGCTCCCTGCTGAGCAGAGAGCCCGATGTAGGGCTCGATCCCAGGACCCTGGGATCACGACCCGAGCCGAAAGCAGAGGCTTTAACCCGCTGAGCCACCCAGGCGCCCCTAAAAGGGTACATTTTATGATATGTGAATTATATCCTAATTTTTTAGAAGCTTGCAACGTCCTATTTAAAATAACAAAAAGTGAAAACAGCCAAAACACCTCATAATGGGGCGATTCATTTTCTGTGACACAAACAGAATAGACTCTGTACAGACTGTCGAATCGCGGAAGTTTAAAAACACATTCGCATACGTATATGAGACAGAGAGACGCTATCAGGTGAAGGACTGACACAAAGGAGCCTTACAGACCAACGAGGGTCTGTACATCAGCCAGCACGGGTCACAGAGAAGTCACAGGGACCCGCGGAGAACACGGCCACTCCCTCTCCATTCTCCTTCGTCAAGTATTTCCACGTATGTGATTTCATTTCATCCTTAAAACAACTCCGAGAGAGGTAATGGGGGTTACCATCATCATACAGAGATGTGCTGCGGAGCACACGCTTCAGAACCGGGGCCAGAAACCCCGTCCCCATTGCCTCCGTGCTGTGGAGATCTGGATCTTCCCAGGAAAACACGGAGTTAAGAACAACAAAACTGAAAGCTCGCTGTGATCCCTCCCAGGACCTTCGGGGTAACTAAGAATAAAAAGCGGGGCGGGCCAAGGAGAGAGCAGGTCTGCTGGCTGGCCGGGGTTCTCTCCAGTCAGGAGGGCTGGCAGCTCCCTGAGCTCACCCTGAAGACAGCCCTGCAAGAGGGGACGCACCAGGCTGGACGGCGGGACAGCAGGCACGCAGCTGGGAGGACCCAGGCCGCCTTGGTCCCTGTGCAAGAGGCACGACGCAGCCACTCTGACCCTCAGAGGTCAGTATGCACCATGCTCCTTCCCCACTGTGGGAACAGGGACCCTCCCAGGCAGGGACAGATACACCACCCTCAGGAAGTCTCCCTCTTTCTTCCTGCCAAAAAAAAAAAAAAAAGGCCTTCCACGCAGAGGAGAAAGTAGGGCAGCAAAGAGACGCAGAGACGCTCCGAGCACATCCTGGCAGGAAGGCCAATGCCAAGGGCCTGGGCAGACCCTGTGGCCACAGGCACAATGGTCAGAAACTGGGGTTCTGAGGGGCCACAGACCTTGGATCACATTCCTGCGCCACCAGAAGAGAGGGCAGCCCAGCCTGGCCCACTCGTGATGCAGCCCTCCTTCCCATGGGGCCCCCCCGGTGGCCACAGTGAGGGCCAGCAGGGGTCCTCTCCACCCCGCCGCACAGCCCAGCCAAGGTCACTCCTTGTACAGCCCAGGGTGCTGCAGCTTCAGGACAGCCCAGCCCCCCAGGGTTTCTGTGGCTCTGAGAGCGGTGCCCCAGATGAGACTGAGAGAAGCAGGGACCTGGGACAGGGAAGGATGCTCTTCCCTTCCTCCCCTCTTCCTGCTCTCTCCCTCCTGCTGTGCGGTGACAAGGCAGGCAGGCAACTCCAACTCCAGGCTGCGGCAAGGAAGGAGAGAGCTGCTCACACAGCCCCAGAAGGGGGGGCAGCCAGCCTCACCCACTTGGATGTTTAGGGGTGAGAGGAGACATCCAACCGACCTTGCCACTCGGAAGTCCCCTTCCCAGGGCCTGCAGCAGCTTGGAACCAGAGTGCTCCTTTTCCCAGGCCTGGCGTGCCACCAACAGCCGGGCCACCCTGGAGCCTCCCCTCCCAGGAGTCAGCAAGGGCTGCGCAGGCCCCGGGCAAGGGGTGGGGAATCTGGAGAAGGGAGATGGCCACTGCACTCTGCCCTTCTGAAGCTTCACATCAGACTACTGGGCTCTAAATCCCGCCTCCGAAACTTCCAGACCACACTCAGTCTCACTGCAGCAGCTTGCCTGCTAAGCACACTGAACCACAGTAAGGCATGGTGACCTCCAGCAGGAGCGCAGTCCTTCCTCCTGCCCGCTTCCCATCTCCAACCCCAGAAGAAGGCACAGCCCGGGCCCTGATGTGCTGGTCACAGGGCTCCCTGGGCATGGGAGGTAGCTGCAGGGCCCACATCTCCTGCCCTCTCCCTCCAGCCTCAACTAAAGTCTGTCTATAAGGGGCCCCCTGAGGAACGGGCTCCAAAGCAGGACCCAGAGGGGACCGTGAGGATTAGTGTTTAAGCCCCCAGAGCTACACCAGGCCACTTTCCCAGCATGCAGAGAATGCTTGTCCTTCTGGGTCCCCAGTGCTCAGGAATCAGGGAGAACACACTGTAGCCAGAGGCCCTACTTGCTATGGGGACGAGCACAGTAGTGGGAAGTCAGCCCCCATTAACCTGGTCTGGGCCCAAGTATGTGACCCGCAGGCAAACAGCCCCACCAAGGAGATCCAACCCCCAGGACAGCTGCAGTCCCACCGGCCATCTCCGACGAGCATAAGCAGCTGAAGCAGCCCGCTGGTCACCCCCTTACTGGTCCCAAGCCCCTCAGGGGCTAGTGGGTCCCCTGCTGCCTGCTTGCTCTGGGTCTCTCTGTGCCTCTGGGCTGAAGGCACAGGGCCCACTGAGTGAAAAAGCCTTGTGCTCTGGGGCATGGCAGCAGGGAGACCTTCCCCTCAGAACCCACACCCTGCAGGCAGCTGGGCCTCTGCCTGGGTCCCACACAGCAGTCTGGAAGGCAGAGACGCTGTCCCCTCCCTCCTGGAGTACGGCTGTCCGCTGCTCTCCAAACCAGAGATTCTCCCTGCCTCGGGCCAGGCCTTGGCAAATAGACCTGCCCAGGCCTCTGCCTGCCTTTCGGTCTTGCTTTCTCCTTTCCTTTTTCCAAAATCCCAAAGTACCTTTGCTGGGATGAGCCGGCTTGCAGTTTGCCTGGCCCCTGGCTCCGCAGGGTTCCCGCAAAAAAAAGAAAACAAAACCCAAACCTACAAATGACATGAGAAACCAAAAGGGAAAAGAAAGGGGCAAGAGGGTTGGAAGGAATAAGGGGCAACAGCACAACCAGTAACCCAGACACCACAGCCCCTCCCCAGCCCAGGGTGGGCACAGGAAGGACTTGACAAAAACGGGGGCGGGGGACCCAGTGTCCCAGCCCTGCTGGTGGCTGAGACAAGTCCAGGCAGAAACTGGTGCTGGCCTACGAAGGGGTGACAGCGGCACCTTCCCAGCCTGCCCCAGGCTCTCAGCCCCAGGCCTGAAGCCCCTCCCTCTGCAGATAAAGCAAGAACGAGGCCCCGCACTCGCCCCCATGAGGACACAGGCACAAGGAGGCTCAGCCTGAGCCCTGCTGAGGACAGGAGGGAAAGCTGGGAGGGTCGAGGCGGGTTCCTGAGACTCACAAAGGCTCAGCGCAGTGGGGACAGGGCCTCTGTTCTGGTATGGGCTCCCGACCGGAGAAACCAAGCTCCTCTCGAAGACAGCGATGCCCTCAAAGCCCTGGCTCCCAGGCCCCAGGCCCCCAGCCCTCCCACTGCCAGCCTGTGTGGTTCGTTTTGGAGTCTCTCCCAAGACACCCTCTCCCCAGTGAACCTGTGCAGTGGCGGGGGCAGAGCCGGGCCTCACACCCTCTGCACGGCCACCTTCTTCACACAGAGCCTCCAGCACTGGACATACTTGAAGGGAGGGAAGCTGGAGAGAGTAACCGAGGGAAGGAGAAAGAAGAGGAAAAGGCAAATAGAAGGACACAGACCTCCCGGACCCCCCAACCTGGGCCTGAAGGGTGTGCCCAAGGGCACACTGTGGGGTGGGGACAGTAGCCTCGGAGCCTCCAGCTCTGGCTGCAGAGAGCAGTCCATGGGACAAACGGGAGGCAGCAGTGCCCAGCCTGGGGGCCAGAGCCAGACCGCACCCCGAGGGCCCGGCCTACCACCTCCTGCCCCGTGACCTCGGGCACGTCCCCAAACCGCACCTGTAGGCGGAGGCTAATGAGAACCCACCTCATTCGGCCCCTGGGGGGACTGACATAAGAATAATTAGCTTTTACCATCTTGGGTAAGAACAGATGCTTTGAACGTAACAACACGCTTCCAGCAGGTGGAGAACTCCCCAAAGGCCAGAGCCCCGGGCAGCCTCAGGAGCCCAGCAGGGAAGCGACATGTGCCGGGGTCACCCGGCAGAGACAGGCCCCAGCCCCCAGGCCAGCGCCGCTCATTCCCTCGGTGTCTGCTTGGCCCTCTGATGAGTGTGCCAGGGGCCAGAAAGGAGGGGCCTAGCGCCCAGGGTCTGCGGAGACACGCACAGGCCCCGAGAAGACCCAGAAAAGCCTGGAGGGCGGAGAAGGGAGGCACGTGTGCTCGGAGAGCCTGATGGGAGCTGACCTCGTGAAGAAGGCCCCTGAGCAAAGCTCCCCAAGAGAGCAGCAGCCGAGCTGGAACCGGCAAACAGGAGGGAGGGGAGGGGAGGAGCAGGTGAGGAGAAGCACGGAGACAGCCGGCGCCCCCTGCACACGCTCAAAGCCAGAGAGGCCCTCACGCCACCCGGAGGGTCTGCACCGTGTCCATGTAAAACTCAGGTCTGCGCTCCCGGAGGGCAGCGAGGACCACAAGGGCTTCATCTGCAGGTGCCCCGGGGCTTAGCCTGGTCCAGAGCTGAGACCACATGCCAGCCAAAACCTCCCACCCAGAAGCACCGGCCATGGGAGCCTTCAGCCCACCACCTCACCAGGCACAGGGCCGGTGGAGGCCACGGAGCGGGGGACCCTCAAGCACCTTCTGCGTCCACCGTCTCCTTCATGATGATCTCCACCCGCTCCACATGGTGCCGGTTCCAGAGGCCGTCCAAGGCCTTGCGGTTCTGGTCTCGGAAAGGCAGGATCTGAGCCACGGCCTGCCAGGGAAGGAGACCGGTTACGCTGCCAGTTCTCAGGGTGAAGAACGAATCCTGACTCCCAAGGAAGGGCCCCAACTCCTCTACCCCCTGCTCCCAGATGCTCTCAGGAGCCCTCGTCCCTGGGTCTCAGGACGTCCCTGCTCCATGAAGACTCCAAGAACTGTTAAGTGACCTCCACAGGATCAGCAGCATTTTATTTTGCAAGGAAAAGCATATTTAAGATTACTTACCTTCTATCACCGTCAACTTCTCATGAAAGAAAGCTACTTTAACGCCAAAAAAGGAGCAAGAAAAACTTCGGACTGGATGTACTCAGGAAGTGCGCTTTTCTCGTTTTCCCAGAAGCAAGGGAAAACCTCTCCAGGTCAGACCCTGGTCTGAGCGCACTCTTCGGGAACGCTGCAGCTGCATACAGGGCTGGCTAGATGGCGACGCCTCTGTCCTGGAGGACTGGGAGGTGTCCCCCTACATGGCCGCGGGCCCACCAGCCTGGTCAGTACTGAGGAAGACTGCGCTGTGCGCTCTCTGCTGCGGTTTCTAGGAAGAGACGCTCCAGTGGCACCCGGAGGGCAGGGCAGGCTCGAGTGAAGTGGCCAGCGGCCTGCCTCACCCGGGAGCTCAGCCCCAGGCTCCGCCACGGAACTGTTCGGTCCCTGCTCACTGGAAGATCTCATTGCCAGCCTTCTGGCTCAGGACAGAACTCAGGAGGACAGAGACACTAAGAAAAGGCAGATGGGTGTGGAATTAAGTTCATTCTAATTCCCACCCCACGACCCACAGGAAGCCAGGCAGACACCTGTGCAGAGGCCACAGGGCAATGAGAAACAAAGCGCTGGCCACGTAGACGAGGGCCACGCATCCTGGCCTGGCCGCTCGGCTCTTCCTTCAGCCTCTTGCCACCTGCCCACCTGCGGGACAGCCTCGGGAGCTCCGATTTCACAAGGGCTCTGGGACTCATCCCACAAGCAGCAGCGTGGCTGTGTCAGTGGGGTCTCCCACGCCCAGCTCGCGCCATCCCTGGCACGCCCCCCACTGAGGCTCACCTGCTTGCCCAGGTAATGGTCCACCCGGTACGTCTCCTCCTCTTGGAAAAAGCTCCTAAGTTCCGTGGCCAGCTGCTGGGCTGAGAGGCGGTCGTGGCCAAAGGGCTTCTCCAGGACAACCCGCAGCCAGGCGCCGGGGCCTGGACGGCAGCTGCTGTTCATGCCGCGGGCAATGTCCGCGTAGGCGAAGGGCGGCACCGAGAAGTAGAAAATCCTGCCAGCCTCCCGGAGGCCTTTGTGTTGGAGCTGTGCCTCGATGTCCTTGCTCAGGGCCATATAGTCCTCACTCGTCCTCAGGCGGCGGTACTGGCTCAGCTGCTGGAACCGGCCCCTGAGTTCGGCACAGCGCTCGGGCGCCACGTCCTCAGGACAGGAGAGGGACTCCAGGACCTTGGCGACAAACTCCTGGCCCTGCTTGGTGGGCGTCAGAGCAGCCCCGTGGAAGCTGAATCTGTAGCCCTTCCCCACCTCATCCAGGTACAGCTGGAACAGTCCCTGCCATAAGTATTTCCTGGCCAGGTCTCCGGTCGCTCCCAGCAGGATTATGGAGACATGTCCCTGGAGATCCTGGGCCTGCAGGCCGGCCAGAAGGACCAGGCACACTGCCACTGCCGGCGTCTTCCAGCAGCCAGGCCGCCTGGGCAGAGGGAAGACACACAAGGAACAAGGAAGGATCAGACATGGGTCAGGCGCTGGGACCTGGAGGTAAACACATTTCTAGGTCATCGAACATTTCCTGCCTGGCAAAAAACCACCACGTGTTTTCTCAGAAAATGTTATAATCCCACAGCCTGCCCCTCCCTCTGCAGCAGCCTGGCTTCTGTGCCAGGAAGCTGGTGGGTAGGGAGCCTACCCTGTAAACAGGGACTAAGCCCGCGAAGGTGGTAGGCTCCTTGCTAGAGGCGGGCCACGGTGTGCGGGAAGCACCAGAGAGGCCCTCAGGGCAGCCGAGGGATTGAGCCGTCCACTCTCCGACCACGACCAGGCTCGTCTGGGAGCACAGGGCGCCAGGAGCACTGGGGCACGTCGGGAATAGGGAGCCGGCCTTCAGGTGACAGGCCAGAACTACGAGAAGCTACGATCACCCCCTCTCACTCCTCCCTTTGTTTTTCCCACATTCTCTGGGCTCCATGCACAAAAGGATTATCGGTAACTGCTATAGTGTAGTGATTAGAAACAAAGACGCTGGGGGCACCTGGTGGCTCTGTCGGATAAGCGTGAGTGTCTCAGCTCAGGTCGTGAACTCAGGCCCAACGCTGGGCTCCACACTGGGTATGAGTTTAATTAAAATAAAATACTAAACCAAAACATAATCTCTGGAAACAGCTGAGGTTGAATCCCAGCGCAACGCCTTACTGTTAGACCTTGAACAAGGGTTTAACCTCTCCGTGCCTCAGTTTCCTCATATGCAGTGGGGGTAACAGTGACCTACGCCACACAGTTATTACAAGGACAAATGAGTTGATATTTACAAATGCTCAGGACACTGCCTAGGACCCAGGAAGCACTAGAGAAGCAGTGGCTGTCACGGTGGTCGGCCAATGACAGCAGCAGCACTCAACTCAGTCCTTACGCACAGAAGAGCTCACTGCATCCAGAAGAAAGCCCTGGAAAAGGACCAGCGGCATAGATTCTGTGACGGTTTCCCTTCCGCGGACAGCAAAGCCAATGCCCGGGTGCTGAAGGGGCCCGGGCGAGGAAGGGGCAGCCGGACAGGCACCAGGCTCTCTGTCCCCAGAGCTGCCACCCAGCAAATGCCTGCCGCAGCCTCCCTGAGGGGGCCTCCCCCTGGGCTGGTTTCCAGCCTCGCTTACAGCAGCTGACACACAGGAAAGGCCAGAGGCCTCGGACCTGCCACAAAGTCACCAGTGAATTTGCTTTATGTTGCCTTCTGTTCTGACCAAGGCTGTGGGGCTTAATGTGCCCCATTCCTACTCCTCAGCTCCCCTGTTCGTTTCCCAGCAAGGCCAGTGCTTTGGGGGAAAGGGAGAAGTGGTGACAGGGAAAGTCATGGTGGCCAGTAACTCGGCTCTCCAAAATCACAGGGCACTGGGGCCCAGCCGGGGACGCCGGAGCACCAAAGGAGGACTCAAGATCACGGACAGCAGGCATTTCCAGATGAAGGACTAACCCAACTCTCGACCTGGAGGCTCTAATCTGTTGTTCAAGTAGGGAAACTGAGGTTTAAAGAGATACCTGGCCAGCCTGCCTTCCTGCACGCCTATGCTGTCCTCCATCTTGAGGGACCGGAGATGCCCTCTGACAGCAGCACCCCGCAGTCCACCTTCCCCTCTGCCTCCTCATCTCTGGGTCAGTGGCCGAACCAAGGTGAGGGAGCCACAGCAGTGTCCGCACACCAGACATGTCCACCACCGGGGCTCTAAGCGGAAGCTCCCGGGACCAGCTGAGCGGCCTCCCAGGCCTCACCTTCCACTCTCCCCCCACCTGCCTGCTCACTCCCAAATCAGATGGGCCAGGGGACCATTCTACTTTCTTCTCCCGCTTCCCAATCCCTGTCCTTGGCCCTTCATGCGTTACTTTCTGAACTGGCAATCGCCCCTGTCTAGAGGGAAGAAAAAGCTGCAAGGTCAGTGCGGGAAAGAGGCGGCGAGAAATCCGAAGCCCGGAGAAGAGCCTGGAGAAGGAGGAGCCTCCAGCTGGCAGGCTGCGGCTCAGGGCTCCTGATCCGGCACGGGCAGCCAGGACCCTGGATGTGCCAGGGACAAGAGGAGGAGCTCGGGAACCTCAGAGAGCCCGGACAGGCGAGTGAGGGAGCCCCAGGGGCCAGGGCCTCTACCCCCACCCCAGAAGACTGCCGAACTGGCATGTCCCAAAGCCGGAGCCCCCAGTTACTATGCCCAGCAGTTTCCACAGTCCAGTGCAGGAATGTGGCATTTCAGGCCGAGGACCAGGCTCAAGACCACCTCCTCTGAGCTGTGGGATCTACTTAAGCCACCTGCTCAGTCTGGGCCCTCATTCCCTAACTATAGAACAGGGCCAATACCAACAAACTAAATGGGGGGTTAGAAGGATGAGCTGAGGTGACACAGGTAACAAACCCCTACGTTGACTACCTGAGCTAAATGGAAGGCCCCTCGTGGCTCCTAAGGTGAGGGGTGGCGGGGAGACACAGTGCCACTAGTGTCAGAAGAACCTGCGCACGGCCCCCGTCTCAGGGGCTGCAGAACGCAGCGTGGAGGGACAGACTGGCATTCCTGTCCCACTGCCCAGCCCCATCCCGATGCCCTGCCCTGAGAAGGGGCGGCCAGCGACGGGTACAGCTGTCCTCCCTGCTGCCCCCACAGGGACATAAACAGGCTCAGAGGAGCCGCCCACCCAAGTCAAGATCAGGGTCCCAGCCTGGGAGCAGGGGAGAGGCCACAGGGAAGGCAGATGTCTCCAACCCCCAGTGCTGCTCTCGCCTCTGTTGTGCCGCGAGGTTCCTGAAGGTCCTTCTGTGGCCCTGCCTCCCACCTCCTGTTCCGGGAGAACAGGCCTGGGGACGCCTCCTAACGTTACACACTCAAAGGGAGCCCCGAAGCATGGATGTGGGGTTCCAACAGCCAGGACTGCCCGGAGCGGTTTCTATTTTTAATTAACAGGTCAATAAGAAAACCACTGCTGGAAGAGCTCCGGCCCAGAAGGACCGCGGGCCTGGCCCAGGCCGCAGCTCCTTGTCTATGACAGGAAGACACTTGGCTGGAGGACTGCCACCTGGCTGCCCCCAGATCCGAGCTCTCCACGGAAAGGAGACAAGCCCCCTCCTATCAGGGAGATGCCAGCTCCGCCTGTCCACGGGGCAGTCAGGGGCTGAGACCTCAGCCCCGCGGCAGGGCAAGGGAAAGAGCACTCGGCGGGGAGCAAGGAGCGGCTAACTTGTGTCATTCAGAAGTTCAGACAAACCTCTCTGAAGCTTTACCTTCAGGGAGGATGCAATTTCATTTATAACAATTGTTATTCAAGGTCCTTGCCAGAAACACTGCACCAGGAAGCGCACGCACACAGCTGTGGGGCTGGAGGAAGACCTTCTTCGGACAGGCTCCTCTTAGGACAGGCTCCTCTTGGACAGGCTCCTCTTAGGACAGGCTCCTCTTAGCCGCAGGCCTGACGGGGCTTGCAGCCACAGTCGGGGGCACATTCCATGCCCGCCCCCCCCAGCCCAGCCGGACGGGCTCCCATCAGGCATCTGGTAGACTCACCTTTTAAAGTACAGCTCGGCCAACATTCCCAGAGCTGTGAGCACTGACCTGGCCAGCGAGAGGGTGTGGATTAGAACCAGGGTTCCCACCTTTGTTTCTGGGGAGCACCCCCGCAGCCGTGCCTGACCCGACCGAGCACAGACACAGCGTGTGCTGGCACTCCCGGAGCAGGGTGGTTTCCGGTGAACCACGGGAGGAAACAGCTCTGGTCCTCTATTCCCAGCAGACAAGGGGCGGGAGAAAGGAGCGAGGAGGTAAAGGTCGGTGGCTGCTGCAGCCCTGTTTTCGTTCCCAATGCCACACTGACACCTTTGACCTCTACCTTCTGTTTGCCAAGCAGGAAGGAGGGACGTTTTCTCCAAATCACAGCCTGGGAGTTTGGAATTTTTGAAAGAATGTGTGGGAGTAAAACAAGACTTCAAACTGAAGATCATTTCTAACCAAAGGGGGTGGGGGGACACATGCCTAGTCCCCTCTATGATCACTGACTCCAGGGTTTTTCCTGTGTTCTCCCTGTTCGGGCCCATCAGCACCAAACACAGCCACGTTTGGTGCAAGTCAAGCCCTTCAGCTGCTGTGAGACCTGTACCCCTTCCCTACTTGTCCCCCTTGGGGCGAGACTGGGGACAAGAGTTGTAAGACCAGGCTCTGGGACCCTTTTCCCTCCCTGATCCCAGAGAAGCCTTCACCTATCACCTCTTTCGTTGTCTTGGGTTCCCGTGACCTCAGGGGTGTGCTCAAGCCACCTGCACCGGGACACAAGATGCAACTGCTGCATTTTCAGGAATTTTTCAAGCCAGGTGTTAAATACAGCCATTATTAAAACCAAATCATGCAAACTTATAAGCAAATAAACTGTATTAAAAACAAAAGTAATAAATGCTTATTACGGCTCATCGTTTCCTAATTATTTGACTGCTTTTTCCTCTCCACCTGTGCTCCTGGATTATTGGCAGCTATCGTATCTGTAAGGTGAAGATATTCCATACTGGGAGGTTTGCCGTGGCCAGCGCAAGAATATTGCACCACAGATATTGGCAAATGCTGTAAATCGGGCTCCTTCCCCATCACCAACCCCCGCCCCCGCTGAGTCGTTACACATTTACCAGCACACAACACCAGGCCTTCATCTCCATTCTGGGCTTTCTCCCCCTCAACTCCAGGCTCACACAATCAGTGGGTACTCCGACGCCAACAGCTGCGTGCCTACAAGACTTAACTCTGTTCAAAACTGAACAGACTTCTCCCCCAGCCTGCTCCAAATGCAAATTTCCCCAGCCTCGGTAAATGACAACTCTATCCTTCCAGGTGCTGAGGGTAGAAACTTGGTGGGGTGTCATGGGATCTGTTAGCACATCCTGTAATTTCTGTCACCAAAATTTACCCAGAACACAATTACTCACCACCTTCCGCCACCGCACTCTGCTCCCAGCCACCATCACCTCTGTTTGGATTACTGTAGAACCATCTAATTGGCCTTCCTCTTCTGTCCTTCCCCGAACATTCAGTGGCCTTTTCAGTGGCCTTCCACCTATTACCTCCTTGCTCTCCTCTGCCACTTGCCCCTCTCTAGGCTCCAGCTTCCCATCCTCCTGCCTCAGGGCCTTTGTACTTGCTGTTCACTCTCCCTGACCTACTTTTCCCTGCTGATGTCCACACGCTTCACTCCCTCACTGACTTGAATTCTTCGTTGAAATGTCACCTTCTCCGTGAGGCTTTCTCAGCCGACTCCGGAAAACTGCAAACCTCCCACCCCCCTCCCGCTCCCTGCTTTCTCTCCGCAGTACGTATCAGTCTCTAATATACTGACTGTGGAAAGTGTATTTGTTTGGTTTATTCTCCGCTGCCCCTTCCCTCAAGAATGTTAAGTGCCAACAAGGGCAGGGGGCTTTGTGTTTATCTTCAGTATCCAAAACGGGGCCCGGCACACACAGAGGTTACACTCTAAGGATGTGCTGAATGAACCAATAAAATCCCAGCAGTAGAAGGTTCCTGCCACCTGTGTAGGAGCCATGTGCATCTAAACGATGGCACGAAGGAAAATGTGTCTACAGCTGGCCTCAAGCACTGTGACACGGCACCCAGGCACAGCAGCTTCCTAACTCTACCAACACTATTACTAGTAAGAGAAACATTTACAGAGTATTTCCCTATACACCAGATACGAGAGCTTCACATCCATCACTGGAGTTAAATTCTTGCCACAGCCTATGAGGTAGGTATCATTATTATGCCCATTTTTAGAAGGGAGTACAGAAGAAACCAAAGTGCACCGAGGGGAAAGTAACTGAAGGCAGGACGGGCAGCTCAGAGGTGATGGGATGTGAACACAGGCCGTCTGGCCTCAGCACAGACCTCCCACCTATCAGGAAAACGCGGGACCACAACCCCAAGCAGTGAAATTTAAAACACTGTATTGGTGTGGACACCGATTCTGCTCCAACAGGGGTGTACAGAGTCTATTTCTCTCGCGTGTTGTAACCACAGAGTAGGAAAACAAGTGGATAAGAAGCAGAAAACGGGCAATCCCTATAAAGCACGTGGCATGATGCTTGGCATGCAGTAAGCACCCCAGAAATGTTAGCTTCTGTTATGATTAAACCAACAGCAGCATGGGTAAAGGTACTTTTCTTGCTAGCTTCTTGGAACGGCTACAAGATGAAGCGAGCAGCCCACAACAGAAAAAAATGCCAAGGAATAGCTCATCAACAGCCTCATGACCTCCCAGTCATACTGACAAAAAAAATCAAAGACATACTATGTTAAAAAGGTTCAAAATCCCCACTCCAGCCCTCGAAGGATTTATAATCTGGCCTTAAGAATAGGGGCGTAAACCCTTTCACTCTGTAGCCACAGGCCTTTCACCTAACGACCCCAGGGCCTGTTCTCCAGCTGTGAAATGGGGATCCATCCACCTCATTTCAACATTGGGCCAAAAAAGCTCAGATCATGACTGTGAAAAATACTTTAGGGGGCAATGGTGTTAGGAGCTCTCCCAGACAGAGAGCCACCTGGCTCCCAACTCAGGGAAAACAAAAAGCAAAAACCAGACTTCCTGCTTTGCCCCTGGGTCGGGGTCTGGCAGAATCCACGAGGAAATCTGGCATCTGACCTGACATCTTAGCTTGTTCAAATTCCACCAAAAAAGTGAGAAGTGGCTAGGCCACTGATGACCACAGGTGCCTCTTGGCTTCCCTTTTAGATGACCTAAGACCATCTGACTGTAAACGTAACTTCGTGAACTCCAGTCTTTGGATAAAAATAACTTGAATGTTTGCCTAGAGTGGTTATTGGTTGGGCAGTCATGTACCTCAAAGAAAAGTTACACAAAGTACTCTCAGAAAAATGAGCTCTGTTCGTGCCAAACAGGGAGCATTTTCATCTCAGGGGCTCCCAAAGCTTCCCAAAAGATTAGCCTCCTAAGCCCAAAAAGTCTGCCCACCATCCATCACCGCAAAGAATGTAGAAAATAATTTAAAATATGCCCACTCTACACCCGTCTCCCCCAGTCCGCTCCCTTTCATGAGCCACGGGCCCCGTTGGGAGGACAGGAGGTTGGGTGGGCAAAGAATTTAGGTTTATGATCTTTCCAGAAGTTCTCACTTCCGACTACATTCAAGTTTAAGCGAGCTGGTTTTCAGAGATGCAGATGGGTTCACTTCTGGGAAACTATTCACTGGATGGGGTCTTGCCGACGCTGACTGAAACCTGAGGGCTAATGCCGAAGATTAAGCTGATCCCAGGGGGAAAAGCACCGGAGTTCCTCCTCTGGTCGAGCTGCCTTCCAGAAAGCCTAGGGGCCTGGCTGCCCCCTGCAGCCAAGGGGTCTGCAGGGGAGGAAGTGAAGGATTTATTTTGAGGGCGCGGGGCTGGGAGGGAACTCGGGCAGACGCGAGACGCTTCCCAGCCAGAAGCCCGAGGAGCTCCCGCCGCGCGCGCCCAGCCTCCTGGGCCACGGGGCCCCCCGACCTCGGGCTCGGCCCCGCGCGAGCAAGCAGCCGCCGGCCGCTACCAGCGACGCCCGCGGCCGAAGGAGCCGGAGACCAAGCGGGGGAGGCAGCTTACTTCATCTCGCCCGTCACTGCCGGCCACTTCTCCGGGAAACGTGGGCGGCGGCGGCGCTGGGCGCGGGGCTCGGCGGGCCGGGCTCGGGCCAGGCCGGGGCCCCGCGCATCCTCTTCCGCAAGCGCCGCCCGCCCCGACAGGTGCGCGTCACGCGGCCCCGCGTCGGACGCGCGCTCGGGTTTCGCCGAGAGGAGCCGGGGAGGAGGGGCGACGGGCGCGGAGGGCGCGGGACCGAGTCCGCCCGGCCGCCCCTTCCCTGCCGCACCCGAGCCGCGTCGGGCCGGGCAGCGCGTGGGGCCCCGTGGGCCTGGGCCCCAGACCCCGGTGGCCTCGCGCGCGCGCGCAGTGGGGCGGCTCAGGAGCGCGCGCGCAGTCGGGTCCCCGGAGAGGGGCGAGGGGCGGAGGCGCAGGCGAAACCACGCCCCCCACTTCGGGGTCCCCGGAGCGGGGGTGGGGGAGGCGGGGCCTCCCGAAGGATTTCTTGGTTAGCGTGGATAGGGCGGGACTTCAGAGCCACGTGGGCGGGCAAGCGGGCCTCCTGCTCTCCCGCCTCCTGCCTTCCCCACAGCGCGCTGGGTTCCGCTGTGCGTCCCCGGCGCTGCCCTCTGAGATACTCGAATGGCCGGGGGTAGTGGTGGTGTCGTGGAGGGAGCCGGGAGGCCGGGTGGCTGGGTCCTCCCTGGGACCTGGCGTGAGCTGTGGACCAGGCTACCCGACCTCCTCTGGCCTTGCCTTTCTCCGTCCGCAGGAGTAGCTGGGCTCGTCCCACCTCTGACGCCCCGAAGTGGTGATTCAGGGATCGCAGAGCACGCTAGGGCCATCTCTGCTTATACCCATGTGACCTGAAGACCCAAACCTGTACACTGGGGGCAGTGAGACGGTGTGCCTCAGCGGGGACCCGGCGTGTGACAAGTACTCAGTAAATGGGCGCTTGCACCTGGGTGGCTTTATTTGCAAGAGAGTAAAAGGGACTCGGCCTTCTCTGAAGGGTGGTGGCGGGGTGTGTACATGAGATGACATGGTCAGCGGCTTCTTTCAGCACTCAGTGGACAGTGAGCCAGTGCTCTACCCCTGTCCTCACCACGGTCGTGCAGTATCTGACCCTCACCTCGCAGCCACCTCGTGCCTGCTTTTCTCCCAACCCCATAGAGCTATCAGCGCCCCTCGTGGTGCCCCGCCACAAGCGAGGCAGCTCCTCCTTCCCGAGTGAAATCCCGAGTGACCTCGGTTAATGAAGGCAGGGCCACCCAGGACCGCTTCCTGGATGTAGACCACAGCCACCCCCCGCCCCGCCGCCTCCTCATCCCTACTCCTGGAGCATCTTCTTTCTGTCCCTCCTCCAGACCCACCTTTCTCCCAACACGGGGACAGGAGAATGCAGGGTCACCCTGCTAAAGGGTGCAGACCACCCAGGAGGGGGATTCTGACCGGAGAGGAAAAGCCTGTAGCAGCTTTTTATTTCAGGAAGGTTCCTTTAGAGATAGAGCATGGAGAACTAGCTGAGGGAACTTGGCAGTGTCCAGCAAAGCTGAGCGGGGCCAACAGGCATGATTACCACACAGGATATTGGGTAAGAGGGTTCCAGGAAGGCCGGGATGCTGAAGGGGGTGGGGCCCCACTGCAACCAAGGCCTGGGGGCCATCTGGGGGCCTGCAGGGAGCTGCCAGGCCTCAGGAAGAATTAAGGCCATCCCCGGTGGGACCTGGGTGGAGGGTCAAGGAGCCAGGTACCCACTGGGCTAGAAGGAGGCGAGAGGGTCTGGGGCAGGGCCAGCCAAACAAGTCTGGATAATGCTCGGACTCGTGGCTAAGAGCCCTTCCCATGTTCTGTAACCCTGCGTGGGCCATACCTCACACAGCGGTGTAAACTGAGGCCAAGGGAGGTACAGATGGGAGAAGGCAGGTGCCCAAAGACTCAGTTGAGCCCAGGGGACGTTTCCCAGGTCCCTAATACGACCATCACAAGGGTGATTTGTGGGTACCTTGAGGGCATTTTTTTTAAAAATCCCATGGGGGCGCCTGGGTGGCTCAGTCGGTTAAGCATCAGCCTTCAGCTCAGGTCATAATCTTCCCAGGGTCCTGGGATCAAGCCCCACATTGGGCTTCCTGCTCAGTGGGGAGCCTGCTTCTCCCTCTCCCACTCTCCCTACTTGTGCTTACTCTCTCTCTCTGTGTCAAATAAATAAATAAAATCTTAAATAAAGAAAATATTCCATAGCCAAGTCAAATTCTTTTTTTTAAATTAATTTTTTAAAGACTTTATTTATTTACTTGACAGGGTGAGAGAGATGGCGCAAGAGGGCACACAAGCAAGGGGAGTGGGAAAGGGAGGAAGCAGGCTCCCCGCTAAGCAGGGAGCCCGATGCAGGGCTCAACCCCAGGACCCTGAGATCATGACCTGAACCAAAGGCAGACGTTTAACTGACTGAACCACCCAGGCGCCCCCCTCAAGTCCTTTTTTAAAACGATTTATTAATTTGGGGTGCCTGGGTGGCTCAGTGGGTTAAAGCCTCTGCCTTCAGCTCAGGTCATGATCCCAGGGTCCTGGGATAGAGCCCCTCATCGGGCTCTCTGCTCAGTGTAGAGCCTGCTTCTCTCTCTCTCTCTCTCTCTCTCTCTCTCTCTCTCTCTGCCTGCCTCTCTGCCTACTTGCGTTCTCTGTCAAATAAATAAATAAAATCTTTAAAAAAAACCCGATTTATTAATTTATCTTAGAGAAAGACCACAGGCACCTGCAAACAGTGGGAGAGGGAGAGAGAATCCTGAAGCAGACTCCCAGCTGAGCCCAGACCATCTCCCCACACACACACATACCGGGGGCTTGATCCAGCCATTCAAGATCATGACCCGAGCTGAAAGCAGGAGTCGGCCACTTAACCGACTGAGCCACCCGGGTGCCCCAGTTACAAGCAGCTCATTAAGAAAATGCGTGCGCCCACTTAGGTGTGGCGGGGGGTCTGCGGACTGTCGTGAAATGAACCTAGGATGTTCATTTCTGTTCTCCCCACTGGTCCTTCCACTCCCACACGGTGATCTTGTGATGTTTTCATTTCTCTACCCTCCTCCCTCACTTTCAAAGTCCTTATCTCAGGCTCGTCCTGACTCTGTAACCTTCTAGTCTGATCTGGACCATTGCTTCGCTTTCTTTCCATCATGCAAACAATTTGGTCTCATTCAGGTGCAAGAGTATTGCCTCCCCCCAAATGCACAAACCTAAAACCTTGTCCATTTGGGCCTCTGACATTTGCCTCCCTGAAGCTTTTCTCATTTCTGTGCTCCCAGCAGCTACAAGACACTCTAAGCTACATCACGGGGATCCAGCTGAGCCCCAAGCACCCTGGAGGGAGCCAGAAGAAAGGAGCAAAGCCCCCTGGGGCCTCCCGTGACCCAGACTGCGTCAGTGGCTTCCCACCTCTCCAGCAGCACCCTCCGGCTCTCTTCGTGAAGCTGATTTTTTCCTCTTCCTAAACTGGGGAGTAGGCAGAAGTCAGGGTTAACTCAGCCTGCTTCACAGGCATGGAAAGTGAGACCCAGAAAGATGAATGACTCACAAGAGATGTCTGTGGAGTTAGAAATAAAATCACGGTGCAGTTTCTATTTTCAGAACCACTCACTAAGTCAGCTCTGCTGGTTCACTCGGCGTTTTGCACCGGGTGGGGAGGGGGAGAACAGGTGTTGTGGATTTTCAGCCACAAGTAGATCGTTTCATCCCCAGGCAGGAGAAAGGAGAAAGCTCAGCACTTTTCTCCCCCTGAAGACGGGCTTCGTCAAGTCCACATGAAGTAGCTTCACACGGTTTTTCTGCTGCTGCCATGACAGTGTACCCCCATTTAGTGACTTAACACAAATGTGTTATCTCACAGCCCTACAGATCAGAAGTCCGGCAAGGGTGTCAGGGGGCTAACACCCCGGGCTCCAGAGCTGTGTTCCTTTCTAAGGCAGCCCTTTCCTTGCTCATGCAGATGCTGCTAGAAGTCAGCTCCTTGAGGCTTACAACTGAGATCCCTGTACCCTGGCTGGCTGTCAGCTGAAGCCACTCCCAGCTTCTAGAAGCTACCACATTCCCTGACTTATGGTCCCATTCCTCTGTCTTCAAAGCCAGCCGCAGAAGGTTGAATGCTTTGATTTCTCATTTTTTGGGTTAATCTCTCTGACCCTTCTGAGAAAGGATCTCCGCCTTTTTTTTTTTTTTAAGATTTATTTATTTATTTTGGAGAGAGAGAGAGAGAGAGAGAGCAGAGGAAGGGGGACGGGGGAGAGAGAGAGAGAGAGAGAGGCAGACTGCCTGCTGAGCACGGAGGTCAACGTGGGGCTTGAACCCATCACCCTGAGATCATGACCCAAGTTGAAATCAAGAGTCATACACTTAACCAACTGCATCATCCACGTGCCCATTTTTTTAAGGCCTCTGCCTTTAAGAACTCACATGATTTGACTGGGCACACTCGAATAATCCAGGACAATATCCCATTTTCAGAGTCCATACCCTTAGTCACATCTGCAAAGTCCCTATTGCCGTGGAAGGTGACAGTCTCCCAGGGTCCAGGCATTAGGGCCTGGAGGTCCTCAGGGAGTCATTATTCTGCCTACCACAAACGATCACTTTCCAGACTCTCAAATCCTCCTGACTGTCCAGGATCTTGAGAACCTTTTACTAATAGCTTTACTAAGATTTAATTCACAAACTATCTAATTCGCCCATTCACAGAGTAAAATTCACTGGCTTTTAGTGCATTCACTGGGTGATGGGACCATCTCCAATACCATTTTAGAACATCTTTATCATATAAGAAACCATATATCTCCTGGCACTCATTCCCCATTTCTGCCCAACTTTCTCAGCCCTAGGCAGCCTCTAGTCTACTCTCTATCTCTGTGACTTGCCAATTCTGGACATTTCATATACACAGAATCATGTAACATGTGACATTTGCGTATACATGTGTTAGATACACACACGCATTTAATGTGCGCCTAGACGATGTTTTCAAGGTTCCTCCATGTTGCAATGTGTATCAGGGCCTCATCCCTTTAATTGTTGAGTAATAGTTGATTTGATGGAAAGGCAACATTTTGTTTATCCATTCATCAGTTCATGGACATCTGTGTTATGGGCTATGAATGAGTGCATACACGTTTTTCTATGGACACGTTCTTATTTCTTTTGGACATACACCCAGGAGTGGAATCGGCCCGCCTAACGGTAACTCTACAATTAGCTTTTTGAGAAATGGCCCGACATTTTGGCAGAGTGGCTCACCAATCAACGTTCCCACCAACAGTGTCCGTGCTTTCCTATTTCTCCGCTTTCTGGCCCAAAACACTTGCTATTAACTGACTTCTCAATCCCAGCCATCCTCATGGGTGTGAGTCG